CTACTTTCCTGGCTTTGAATTAAATTTCTTGCTTTCCTTTATCTGTCCCAATTAATATTTTATAAGAACTCCATGAGATCCCACCCAGGAATCCTTTTCCTAGACTATAGAGCTTAATTCTCTTGTATATTATTGTATTTGATATTTTAATTTCTCCTCTTTGTGCCCCCTGCAATACATATGTACATATTAATTGTTGGTTGAGCAATAAATCATGAAGGCACAACATAAATTAGGGATGCTTTTGTTCAAACTACATATTCCACTATTCTCTCTTTAAATTACTTTGCCATATTGCAGATATTAAAATTGATGAATGAGCTCAATATTACTCCAAAGTTCTTTTCTTTGTCATCTTGTGTTAATTACTATGCAATAGATAGAATTAAATTAAATACATCTGTCTGGCAAGCTACAATATTTTATGTGATCATTTACTGTCTCTCTGCCTAATTTCATAATCCTTCCCTTTCTAATTAAGCAGACCTTGTTTCTTAACCCTGCTTTCAGGTCCGTTATCTTTACTATTTTTCAGGTCATTACTATAAAAGGTACCGTTCCAGCTTGCCCTCAGGATTCTATTATTGTATCTGTCGTTGTTGTTAGGCTATTAGGTTGCATTAGACTTGTCATCGATCTTAAATATAGTTCCGATGATTGCCTGCCTCCATCTCCGGGAAATCTCACGTGTCCACTAATATCTTTTCCTCTGCTGTCGGCAGATATACATTTTGAAGGAGTCAATGAAAGAAATGCTAGAATAAATCCAATCTGTTGGTGTGTTTATCTCTGCTTTACCAGATTCAAAATCCTCTAGGATACCAGGCGTACAACAGAGATTTAGTGGCAAGTCCATGTTATCCTTTGTCATTAATGGTTGTTGAATAAATATAATTTACTATTTTAGCTTCAGTTTTTCCCACAGATTTATCTTTTAAATTCTAACTTGGTCTAATTACAAATTTGTCATTATGAACTAAATGAATACACTTGTAGTATGGTTACCTCATTGGACTTTCTGTACCATTAATACCATATTTTGCTTCATCTGATTCCTGTGTTCTTACCCCTCCTTTACCTCTGCGGATTTTCTGCCCTGGGCCTTCTCTTTTGTTGATTCCTCCTCTTTTACCCTGTAGGTTCTTTTCCTAGAGATAGTAGGAACTGCTGATGCTAGAGAATCTAAGACAACACAGTGTGGAGCTGGATGAACACAGCAGGCCAAGCAGCATCAGAGGAGCAGGAAAGCTGACGTTTTGGGTCTGGACCCTTCTTCAGAAAATTATTTTTTGTTCCTCTGATGCTGCTTGGCCTGCTGTGTTCATCCAGCTCTACACCTTGTTATCTCAGGTTCTCTTCCTTCCCCTTTTTTCCCTATAAGCCTTCTCACCTATGTCCTATTTCAGGTTACTTAACCTGCCAGGAACCTGGAGTACACCTCAATTCCCAATCCTGCTTTCAGTTTGCTTGTTAACAACTTAAACTGTTTAAATATTGTCTCTTTTCCTGGGGCTATCAGTTCAACCTGCTTCATTTTTAAATTATCCTGAACATGTCAGAATCCCCCTCTATATCTCCTTTTCTTGGCCACCTTTTCCTCCATCACATTGAATTCAGCCCTGTCTTCAGTGAGTTTTATTTCTATAAAACCTGTGTTTTTGTAATTTCTATAAATGGATCCAACACAAGTATTTTGCTGCATGGTTCTGATATGTCTTCCTCTTGGCTGGTACCGCATTAACAATATTCAAGGAATACACGGTTTCCAAACTTCTTATTTTTGACTTCTAAGAATGTGAATTAATGAGTAGAAGATAAAAGTAATGCAATGTTAGATAATGGCTTAGTGGTTATTATTGCTGGATTTTCTTCCAGAAACCCAGGGGACCTGGATTTGAATGTCACCACAGCAGATGGTGGGATTTGAATTCTGTTTTAAAAAAATAACAAAAGAATCTGGAATTAAGAGTCTAATGATGACCCTGAATTCATTGACATTGTCAGGAAAAAGCCCATCAGGTTCACTAATGTCCTTTTGGGAAGGAAACTGCCATCCTTACCTGGTCTGCTACATGTGACTCCAGACCCACAGCAATGTGGTTGACTCTTAACTGCCCAATTGCAATAAATGCTGGCCTAGCCAGCAACACCCTCATCCCGTGAATGAATAAAATTAAAATTCAGAATGGTAATAGAGATATGGAAGACTTTGTCCATCCCTCCCTAAAAGAGGATATATCCACTGAAAATTTACACAGTAAGATCAGTTGATATTTTTTTGTAGGCAACTGTACTAAGGGATGTTTAACCGAGGTGAGGAATTGAAGTTGAGAAACAGGTTAATCATGATCTAACCAAATGGTAAACCAAACTTTGTTGGACTGAATAGTCTATTGTGCTCCTGAAACACCATACACACAAGTAGGCCTTTAATAACAAGGTAAAGGTAAAGTCACCGTTGTCTTACCAGACCGTAGGGCTGCTGTCTTATTACAGAGAGACAACTGGTGGTGGTTTATCCTGAGGGTCACCATGCCTCAGGCAAGGAGAGGGGTTGAGAAGGAGGGTCCTTCATGGAAACCTCAGCCTGTGCAGCACCTACACATTAGATGTCAGTCTGCATCGCAAACCAACCAACTGAGCTAACCAATCCCCTACATAATACTTCTCTGGCAGCCAACATGTACCTAAGGGACCCTTTTCTCCTCTCCATTGGCTGACAGGGACCATTACAGCTAAATTATTTTATTCCTGCAGGAGCTGGACTTTGATGCTCCCTTTCTCTGAGCCCACTAACACCAGGGCCAATCTGGATTAATGTGGTCACTTTCAATTTTGATTTGTAAGAGTTCGGCTCATTGATGGCATCGTTCAGTGGCTTGGTGGCACAGTGGTTAGGACTGCTCATAGTGCCAGCCTCAGGGCAACTGTCTGTGTGGAGTTTGCACATTCTGCCCGTGTCTTGTATGGGTTTCCACCAAGTGCTCCGGTTTGCTCCAGCTGGGATAGGGTGGGGAGGGAGGGGGTTGGGATGGGTCTGGGTGGGACGCTCTTCAGAGGTTTTGTGCCGAATGGCCTCTTTCTGCAGTGTAGGGAATCTGTGACAATTCGGGGGCAATTTGATGGTGCACTGTTGTATAAACTTGTGCCATCAACAAGTTGGGTGGATTGTTATCACCATTCCCTTTTCTGTCTGGGTCTCCATGGCCCACGTGGTCAAGGAAAACCACTGGTAGTGTAATGAGAGGAGGTTTCTGTCTTAAATAAGACAGAGGCTATTGCATGATGGCAGACAGGTAAAGGTTACATAAGTTACTGAAACCACTGGGAGATCTAGGTTAACAGGGCTGTCCCTATCGAGATTGCAAGATGTTCCTCTTCACCCCCATCAAATCGATATGACACCAATCAAATTGGGTAAAAATTAATGTATTGTTCTGCATTAACCCTTTCAGTATCATTGCCTCATGTACATACACAACTAAAGGAAGCCTGTTGTGTTTTTTTTTAACAGGTGGAAATGATGTTTTGTTACTTTTAAACTAGGTTCTAACTATTCTAGTAAGTTGTTGATTTCAAGCTCTTGCAGACTGCACTTCTTTATCAGTTTAATTTAAAATCAAGAAGCGAGTTGGTACTGACATAACAGTGGGATCCTCAAAGCCCCAGCACTGGCACAGCCAGCACACTTTCATTTTATTAACTCAGACAAAGCTCTGGTTACCTGGAGGTTTTGACTTCAGATTTCCACCTTGTGTCTGTGCAAATCCTTTATCAATCGTGTACATTCTGCTGTATATGGCAAGCAGGTTGGTGTATGCAAATCAAAGCCTTAAAGGGATAGGCAGACTAGTTGCATAAGGAATGTTTCCACTGACTGTGGGGTCCAGAACCCGGGGGCACACTCTCAGAATAGAAAGCAAGCCATTCAGGACTGAGATGAGGGGGAGTCTGTTCAGAAGGTGTTGAATCTTTGGAATTCTCTACCTCAGAAGTCTGTAGATCCTCAGTTATTTGGTAAATTCATGACAAAAGCTGATAGATTTCTACCTACTAATGACAACAGGGATAATACAGCCAATATGATGTTGAGGTTGTTGATCAGCCATGTCCTGAAATAGTGGAGCAGACTCCTACTCTTTCTTTTATTTATAGAAATAAAACGTTAAACATCCATTCTGAAGAAGGGGTCACTTAACCCGCAACGTTAACTTAACTGTGCTTGTTCCACAGATGCTGCCAGACCTTTTTTAATGTACTCATTCACAGGATGTGGGCACAGATTTTCCAGTAATTTCTGCTGTGTTTCTGTTTTCGTTTATTTGGTCTTGCAGTTCCCTGTATCACTTCTGTAATCAAACCAGCATGTAATAATCCGGCAGAAATCAGTTTGAAGAAAACATTCATTCAAGATTTGTTTTAAAAATCCATCTCTAGGACTGTTTAAAATGAG